CATGTTTGTGGAGGATTTCTCATCACTGAAGACTTTGTAGTTTCAGCTGCACACTGTGATGACTCGTGAGTAATCAGACATATTTTCCTGTAATCTCTGACTCATGTCACTGAAATGCATTTAGAAAATGTGTTGATTTCCTTTCATTAATCACTCCTTCAGCAACCCCACACACGTTGTTCTCGGCAACCACAATCTCAAGAATGGCAATCATCAAAAAATAAGGATTGAAAAAAAAATCATCCATGAAAATTATCAAGGCGTTGCACTGGGTAATGACATCATGCTGATTAAAGTAAGTACATGTTCATGTTCACAACAGTTTTACATGACATATTTGCGGTCTTATTATTCAGATTATATCTAAAGAACTATCGTATGAACACAGATATATTTTTTACTTTATGTTGTGTCTCCAGCTGTCTGAGAAAGTTAAACTGGGCCACGGAGTACAATGCAGTACATTGCAACAAAAGAGCAATCATAAGAAAACTGGCATTTTTACTTTATGTTGTTTGTCTCCAGTTGTCTGAGAAAACTCATCTAGGCCACATGGTACGAACAATTCAGCTTCCACCTGAAGAAATACACCTTCGAGAAAACCAAGTGTGTCAGGTGGCTGGATGGGGAAAAACTAAAACTGATAATAATAAACCTGCTGACGAGCTGATGGTGGTGGACGTGTCTGTCATTGACAAACAAGTCTGTGAGGACCAGTGGGGTAGTCTTCCTGCCAACGTTGTCTGTGCAGGTGGATATGGCACAGACAAAGGATTCTGTCAGGTATGTGTTCTGTTTTCACTGAAAGTTAAACTTGTGTTCCATCAACAAAAGAATAAATTTTTTTAAATAGAAAAATTGAAATCTTTGCTCCTCACAGGGAGATTCTGGGGGACCTCTGGTGTGTCAAGGGTTAGCTGTTGGCATTGTTTCTTATAACAATGGTATCTGCAATTACCCAGAGGAGCCCAACGTCTACACCGACATCACCAAATACCTTCAATGGATCAACAAAACTGTGACTGGCAGAAACAGTTTGGTGTAAAAGTTCGGCTTTTGCATACTGAAACTTAAACATTTTGAAGTGGTTTTCTCTGCTTGCTTTGTCATCGTGACCACAAAATGGAAATAAAAATGCTTCTGACAAGCCGCAGTCTCATTTCCTTTATTTCAGTGTCATTGCAAACATATGAGTTAACAAAACAAACAAGAAACTCAGATACTATGTGAAATGACTTTTTGTCAAGTGAATGTTAGATAAGCTAATATCAAGGCTATCACCATTATCCCTTCAACTTCCTGTTTTCACAA